TCGTTAAAAAAAAAAAAAAAACTCCCATAATTCCGAACGATAACATTCTTGAGCATTATGCTTAATCACTGCACTCCACACTGGATGAATTTTTCATCATTATTATTATCATCCAAGCATTATTACATCAACCCTTCATTACCTATTAAATTATATTACCTATTAACTTTATTTTCTTATTATATCCATTACATTAATGCTAGTCGTTTATGGAAAATTTCAATATACAAAAATCTACAAGACGTGCATTCTTTACTTCATAAAACAAGTCTCTATAAAATTTAATCTATTTAACTCGTTCCATCGATGACTTGCAATAATAAACGCAACCACGAGAAGAATATAAATCCTCCTTCCATTCTTCCTTTCCAAAACTTAACCAATTCCTCTTAACAAACCCTAAATCTATACACAAGAAGAAAAGAAAGAGAGCTCCATTATTGGCGTCACTCCACGGTGGCTCTTCAATTGTGCGCGAGGGCTCGATTTCAAAGTGAGATTTGGGGAAAAGACGCGAGTAAACAAACACGAGGGCCGCGACGCGAAAGCGAGCACGCGACGAGAGCAACGAAAGCTGGCCGAGAAAAGGGAGAAAGGGAGAGAGACAGCTTCGAAGGCAAGAGGGAAAAGGCCCCGGGGTGGCTGATGCGCGGGCGCGGCTTTGCGGGTCAGAGTGCGCCGGGTATATAACCGGGCGGACGCCGTCGTTCTTTAGTCTTGCGCTTATCGTCGTCGCGACGACCCGCTCGAATTCGACAAACAAGGGGGTTGATCGCGCTCGCGGCGATCGCTCCTGTTCCAGGCAGGCAGGCGTTCGATGGCGCGGAGTGCGTTTCCCGTTACGCGCGTATCCCGTTCGTGATGTGCAGTTCTCGATCATCGATCGAGATCGATCCCGATCGCCACCCGAACGATCCAAGGGGCCAAGAACGACGAAATTTTCTAGGTCGTTTGTACTTGGTCTCCCGTATGCTCGTAACGTATGAGCGCGCGTTTCCATTCGCCTGCCGCTTCGCCCGCCCTTCGTCAAATGCTTCAACCTGTTGTAACTGTGCCTCGTCCTAAACGTATTCCAACGCTGCTCCCCCGGACGAGAACGTGTAAACAGT